CCTGGGATGCAAGGCTGGTTCAATATATGCAAATCAATAAACATAATCCATCACATAAACAGAACCAATGACAAAAACCACATGATTATCTCAATAGATACAGAAAAGGCCTTTGACAAAATTCAACAGCCTTCCATGTTAAAAACTCTCAATAAACTAGGTATTGATGGAACGTATCTCAAAATAATAAGAGGTACTTATGACAGACCCATAGCCAATATCATACTGAATGGGCAAAAACTGGAAGCATTCCCTTTGATAACTGGTACAAGACAAGGATGACTTCTCTCACCACTCCTATTCAACAAAGTATTGGAAGTTCTGGCCAGGGCAATCAGTCAAGAGAAAGAAAGAAAGGGTATTCAATTAGGAAAAGAGACAGTCAAATTGCCTCTGTTTGCAGATGACATGATTGTATATTTAGAAAACCCCATTGTCTCAGCACAAAATATCCTTACGCTGATAAGCAACTTCAGCAAAGTCTCAGGATACAAAATCAATGTGCAAAAATCACAAGCATTCCTATACACCAAGAACAGACAAACAGAGAGCCAAATCATGAGTGAACTCCCACTGACAATTGCTACAAAGAGAATAAAATACCTAGGAATCCAACTTACAAGGGATGTGAAGGACCTCTTCAAGGAGAACTACAAACCACTGCTCAATGAAATAAAAGAGGACACAAACAAATGGAAGAACATTCCATGCTCATGGATAGGAAGAATCAATATCGTGAAAATGGTCATACTGCCCAAGGTAATTTATAGATTCAATACTATCCCCATCAAGCTACCACTGACTTTCTTTGCAGAATTGGAAAAAACTATTTTAAAGCTCATATGGAACCAAAAAACAGCCCGCATAGCCAAGACAATCCTATGCAAAAAGAACAAAGCCGGAGGCATCACGCTACCTGACTTCAAGCTATACTCCAAGGCTACAGTAATCAAAACAGCATGGTACTTGTATCAAAACAGATATATAGACCAATGAAACAGAACAGAGCCCTCAGAAATAATACCACACATCTACAACCATCTGATCTGTGACAAACCTGACAAAAACAAGCAATGGGGAAAGGATTCCCTATTTAATAAAGGGTACTGGGAAAATTGGCTAGCCATAAGTAGAAAGCTGAAACTGGATCCCTTCCTTACATCTTATATAAAAATTAACTCAAGATGGATTAAAGACTTAAATGTAAGACCTAAAAACCATAAAAACCCTAGAAGAAAATCTAGGCAATACCATTCAGGGCACACACATGGGCAAAGACTTCATGACTAAAACACCAAAAGCAATGGAAACAAGAGCCAAAATAGACAAATGGGATCTAATTAAACTAACGAGCTCCTGCACAGCAAAAGAAACTATCATCAGTGTGAACAGGCAACCTACAGAATGCGAGGAAATTTTTGCAATCTATCCATCTGACAAACTGCTAATATCCAGAATCTACAAAGAACTTAAAACAAACTTACAAGAAGAAAAAAAAAAAAACCATGAAAAAGTGGGCACAGGATATGAACAGATGCTTCACAAAAGAAGACATTTATACAGCCAACAGACACTTGAAAAAATGCTCATCATCATTGGTCATCAGAGAAATGCAAATCAAAACCACAATGAGATATCATCTCATGTCAGTTAGAATGGCGATCATTAAAAAGTCAGGAAACAACAGATGCTGGAGAGGATGTGGAGAAATAGGAATGCTTTTACACTGTTGGTGGGAGTGTAAATTAGTTTAACCATTGTGGAAGACAGTGTGGTGGTTCCTCAAGGATCTAGAGCTAGAAATACCGTTTGACCCAGCAATCCTATGGGTATATACCCAAAGGATTATAAATCATGCTACTATAAAGACACATGCACACATATGTTTACTGTGGCACTATTCACAATAGCAGACTTGGAACCAACCCAAATGTCCATAAATAATAGTCTGGATAAAGAAAATGTGGCATATATACACCATGGAATACTATGCAGCCATAAAAAAAAAGGATGAGTTCATGTCCTTTGCAGGGACATGGATGAAGCTGGAAACCATCATTCTCAGCAAAATTTCACAAGGACAGAAAACCAAACACTGCATGTTCTCACTCATAAGTGGGAGTTGAACAATGAGAACACATGGACACAGGGAGGGGAACATCACACACGGGGGCCTGTTGGAGGTGGGGTTTAGGGGAGGGATAGCATTAGGAGAAATACCTAATGTAAATGACGAGTTGATGGGTGCAGCAAACCACCATGGCACGTGTTTTCTCAGTACTCTAGAACTTAAAGTATAATAATAATAATAAAAGAAAAGAAAAAATACAAAGAAGAAAAGGATGACTGGATGTCCAAAGCTCTGAGCAATCTTGAAATTACATCTTATTAGAAACAGTTGAAGGAAATAGAGATACTGAAAAGGAAATAATTCATTAAATGGTAACTAGGGCTATAAAAGTCCTGTTTTCTAGCATATCCATTTGTATAATTTAGACTTCAAGACAAAACAATTTTACTACTCCAAAGAATTGTTGGATCTCCTATACTATCAGCTCGTTTCGTTCATTCTTCTGTCAATAGAGTTTTACCCTGATCTGACATCCTAGCTATATCATACTTTTAATCTATTTAATTCTTAGAAAAGCATTATTTCTGCTAAAAATAATAGCTACCTCTAGCCCTTCATTACGCAAGCTCATGCAAAAAAAAAAATGGTAAAACTGCAGTTACGTGTACAGATAATTTTCTTATCTTATTTCCAATGACTGCAGACTGCCTCTCCCATAAAGTTTTACCCTAGTTGTTAAAAGCTCTTCAAACTGATCTCGTCGCAGCTTATTTTCACCTCTCCTTGACATCAAGGGAAAAATGAAAAATAAGAGTAAAAAGACCAAAAGGAAGTGCAGAATAGTGATTGGCCTAGATCATCTTGACCACTGGAAGGTCTGAACTATTCAAAGGTGACCACACTTAGAGCTTGGTACACAGCAAACGCATCAATGTGCGGGTTTCTAATGTTGTTTACTTTAAAATTAAGTTCCTTACACCCTGTCGCTGAAATGTCACTAGCCTGGGGCCTCCAAAGGTGAACGTACAGAAGGCTGCAGTAAGGATGGAGAGTCTTTATGTAAACGACATGACAGGACACCAAGTCATGTGTGGTTTGTGATGTCAGCAGAACCCCCTGATGGAATCCTTGAGTTTCCATCACTTGGCTAGAGAACGTCCCTATAAGAAAAGGCTGACCCTTGACATCGCCGGAAACTTTCCCCAGACTTGGCGTCCATTTGCAGGAGATGCTCCCGCTGGAGCCCCCCGCGAGCCCATGAGGTGGATGGGTCCTGGGGAGACTTCCAGAAGGGGCGGCCCCTCGGGCCCTGCGCAGAGAAGGGCAAGGCCGCAGGCACTGGGGCCACAAGGGCCGGGTCCAAAGACCGGGGTCCCAGCAGGGCCCCCACGCGCCAGCGGGTGACAGCCCCGGGGGGCGGAGGGCGGCGGCCCAGGGCTCCCGTGACCGCCTAGGCGTTGGGGTCCCGCCTGAGGACTGTCCGGCAGGCTACGAGGATGGGGAGGGACCCGTGGTTCCCGCCCAGCAGGGCGGCGGCAGCCAGGCCTGGAGCGAGGTGGCGGAGCGCAGACAGTGGCCCGGGATGCGGGCAGGGAAGGCGGCCGAGGTGGGAGAGGGCGGGGTCGGCGGGGCGGGGCGGGGTCGGCGTCTCCCCTCGGCTTTACAAAGCCCGCGCCAGCCTCGGCCGCCCGGCGGGACCCAGAGCCGCCGCGGGAGCCTCCAGCGTCCCCAGGTAGCGCGGGCGTCGCGGGGCGGGGCGGGAGCGCGCCCGGGAGGAGCCGCGCCAGGGTGGGCGGGATTATGGGGGGGTCTCTCTGCCCACCCGCAGTCCCCACATCCGCAGACTCCTGAGGACGCGAGAGCTTGGAGCATCGCATCCCTCTGCACCCCTGAAAGGAGGGTGACCTGGTTACCTTTCGCTGACCTCCTGACAGCTAGCCCAGCTGCTCTGACAAAGCACAGGGCCGCAGAGGGTGCTTGCTTCCAGAATACTTTGGGTGTCTTGAGCACCCTCCTACCTAAGCGTCCCCCAGCGCGCGCGCACGCACACACACACACACACACACACACACACACACACACTGGCGGAGGCGGGTGGCCAGAGAGATTAGAGGGATAAAGTCACTGTCAGCCAGAAAAAATAAGAATCTGGGCTGGACGTGCCACACTGGGGTCTTCTGAAAGTAGGTGCAGCATCTGCAGCTCCTCATGCCCGGCCTTAAGGTGATGCGGGATTGATTTTTCTTGGTTTGTTAGCTGTGAAATCCCCGGGCTGTAAAAAGGTTTGGGTCAAGAACTAGACTATGATTTATTGAGGCTTGCTTTGCCCTGCTATGCCACACCTTGTGGTGTCTGGGGTATTTTGGAGCACTCATATAAAGTTTGAACTGGTATTCAAGCGAGCTTGGTTTTTAATACTTGGGAATTAAAAAAAAATGAAGATATGCATTCTCTTAGTTTAAATTGAGTTTTATTTTTCAATACACATGTATATATTTTAACAGAAGTAATCACTGGTGATGTCACTCAAAAGTAATCACTGGTGATGTCACTCAAATAGTGAGTCCACCAGGTGTGGCGTTGTTAGAATTTGAATTTGAAACTAAGTTTACCCTATAGTTTTAGAGAAATTGACTGCTTCTTTTTATGCGCTGTATTATTGGGAGGTATGTGTGCTGAGAATCCTGTCACATCATCTTGCTGTTGGTGAGAAGGTCTCCCCTGGTGTTGGCCACCTGACTTGGGACAAAACCCAAAATATATATTTTTTATCACTAGTGTTTCAGTGTGTGCAACTGTGCTTCTTGGGCCACTAACCTTAGTCTCTGGTGAGAAGAAATAGGTATCAAAAATGTGCCCTAGGCACATTTGGGAGCAAGGAGGAAGGCTGTAGATTTCTTTTTCCCCATTAAAGTTTTCATGTATTGGCAATTTAAACCCCAAAGCATTGTTTACCACCTGTCAGATGCACTCAGAAGTGTAAAGATTAACTAATAAAAGATTTGTAAAATGCTTCCTGAATCTAAAATTCTATAAATATGCTAAATAGTAATAATCCACCCATAGTTAAATTTATGTAGCTGCTTCTGCCATGCATATAAGATGATTTAGATGCATGTTTCCTGTCAATTAAACAATGAGTTTGGAGCAAAATAATGAGTTCAATTCACATCCTATGAAACTTTGAAATAAAATTTCTCCCATAAAGCAGCAACAGCAGAGAATCATAAAATAAGCTGCATTTCAAAAAGCTGTATATGAAATGGCATTTACCTTATGGTTGGGTGAAGAGGGACCCAGTGAACTTCCGAAACTAAGAAATATTCAGCCCTGGTTCATGTGTGTCTGAACCATCAACATTCCCTAACAGGGAGGGCATACAGGTTTTGTGGAACAGCCTCATAGCTTTCCAGTCTAATCCAAGAAATACGCCTCTTCGTATTTTAAGGTTGAATTCAACCTGTGGTTTTGTTCATAGACAATGAAGAAAATCTGTATAGTTACTTGGATTAATTATTGATTCTTCCAATATCATGGGCTTGGTTTTGAGGCATCCTTAACACCAGCTATCATTTTAAGATCCTGCAGATAACTGGTTTGTTCCCAGTTGATTTAGTGGCATATTAACATTTTTCTCTGAGCATGTTTTGAATAACAAAGTGTGTCATTCTTCTGTTTACTGACATCCTAGAGTAAAATCTGTTTCTTCTATGCTACTTTTAAGTATAAATACAGATATAGGTGATCTTTCTTTTGTTTTAGATAGACAACTCTAGATTTATCACTAGCAGGTTATGCTGTGACCTTAATGAAGTTGAGGATGTCTTTTTTTTGACACTTGTCCAATTTAGTGGACTTTTCTTTTCATTTCCTCCACTAGAATTTGGATGGGCAGTTGCTAAATAGACTCCATTCCCATATTCCACAACCTTCCCTCTGCCGCCACTCCTCCTTTATCCAAGTAACTTAAACCTCTGCTCTACTTTGTCTTAACTTGACAACAAGTTGTTACGGGTGAAAGTGCACTAGGTGAAAAATAAAAGAGCTTGCATTTCCGGAGCAGCTGTGATATACTAGGCACTGTGCCACAATATCTCATTAAATTCTTGTCATAATCTGGTGAAGTAGATGTTGTCTGTGTTTCACAGAAAAGAAAACTGAGGCTCAAAGAAGCTCTCATGCCCAAGGATGAACAGTTTATGAATAGAAAAGCCAGGATTTGAATCAATACAGTCTGGTACTTCCTGCTCCGTTGCAATCTCTAAGAAGAGTTCACATTCTGGACTGAAGTGTGGAAGAGTTCTTCTGTTAATTAGCCATTTGACCTCAGAGAAGTCCTTTAACCCTCTGGGCCTCTGGTTTCCTTTCACTAGTTTTGGATTAAATTATCTCTCAGAGATAGAAGAGACAGTTCCAGGATTTTGGATGCCAAGCACATAAGCTATTTCTCCCACAGAATCCCAGAATATGCTCTCCCTTCCCCTTTCTCCACCCCCTTCCTTCCCATTTTTCTTCTTTTCTTCCTTTAGGTCTAAGTAAATTGCACTTCCTCCAGGAGGCTTTTCTGAACTCCCTTCTGTTCTTCTCCATCTCAGCCCTCAGTGAACTCTCATGGAGCTGATTACAAACTAAAGTCTCTTATTTTTATTTGTTTAATATGATTGTTGTTTTTATCTTCTTCCCCATCCCTCCCTACTTCCCCATCAGAATGTAGGCTGCATAGGCCAGAACTCTGTTTTCTGACTTTTTTCATTACTGTATTCCCAGGGCCTAGCACAGTGATGAATGGCACATATTTGTTAGTCTGTATGTTTGAATAAATAATTATCTCTTATAAAAGACATGTGTGAATGGCTAATATATTGTCCCTTCCTTGGGAAAGCCTAAATGAAGCATCATTGATCTTACAGTGTTAGAGAGGGTGAGCCTGAATTATGAATGGAGATCTGAGCGCCGTAATGGAGATGACAGGGCCGCCCTCAGACACACAGGACAAATGGACACACTGCACCTAGTGCAACCCCATATTTTATGGCAGAGGAAACTGAAGCTCAGAATGATAATAGAAATTTAGGTCTAGACAATACTTTAGAGATCAGCTAATAGTCTAAGCCATTGTTTTATTGATGAGCAAACTGAAGCCCCCCAAAACAGATCATAAACTATAGAACCTAAGCCTTCTGACTTATAAACCAGCATTCTTTTCACTCTGAGGTCAAAAATAGTGAGAACCACACAGTCAACAGGAGTAAGGAGCTTTGGACAATGATGCTTTCTTTCAAAAATTCAAAAGAGACTTATGTTGCCCAGACCAATCCTGAATAGCAGCATTAGAACATCTTAATATGTATAGTCTATTTTCAAAGTTCTTCTGGTCTCTATAAACTTCGGTGACACATTTACTATTTTAATAATCCATCAAGCAGCCTTTTAATGCCTATCATTAGTTTACCAATTCTATTTAAATGCTTAGACAGTCCAAATAGAAAATTTACAGTGCTGAGCATTTAACACTGGTGTGATAGATTAAAGATACATTTCAAACATGATTGCTAGTTTGAACCTCAAAATATTGGTGGCTTATCTTTAAGCACAAAAATGATAACTTTTCTTCTCTAACATAGACAGCAATCCTTGCTAAAGTATTACATTTTATAAACAAACAGTTCTTAAAGTTTAGAGGGCATAAAAATCATCTGGAAGCCTTTTTAAAATCACAGATTGCTTGGAGCCATTCTGCACAGTTCTGAATTAATAGGTTTGAGATTGCCCCCACACAACTGCATTTTAACAAATACCTTTGGTGATTTCTCAATCAAACGGTCTGAAGATCTCATTTTGAGATCCAGTAACAATTTTGATATGTTTTTAATTTCCCCAGATTCTTCCTAAGAGGATATTTTAAAAAAAGATATTTGGGGAGGAACTCAGTGTGTTTGAATCCAGCTAATAGCAGAGATTATTAAAATTGTTTACTAGGTATGATGACATTTGTTTCCTTTGTAGCAAAAGTTGTGTGTGTGTGTGTGTGTGTGTGTGTGTGTGTAATCATGATGTGGCTACTAGACTTGATATTGGCCTCAAATCAAGCATGTTCAAAAATGTTTCTATTGGACCACAAAAATAAATTGATAAGTAGTAATAAGAGTAATAAGAGTTGAGTGTTAAGTTTCATGAGGAAATAGTGAAGTCCCTTGTTCTCTGGATGGTTACATTCTGTACAGTTGAGAGATAACATTAATATCCACGAAACATTCAGGATAAGTTTGCAAATCAAATACAGGATGCCTAGTTAAATCTGAATTTCAAATACACAACAAATCATGTTTTAATAAAATTGTGTCTCCCCTATAATATTTTTATTTGCTAAATCTGGCATTCTTGATCAGAGAACATTAGTGTTCAGTGTCATTAGTTTCTAGAAGTAAGGGTGCTGAGCGGTGGTTGTTAAGCTTAATGAAATTGATAAAAGCTCTGGACATGCTCCTGAGAAAAATGCCCCCATGGCACATTCCAACAGGGCTCGCATTACCATCCCTTGGGTTCCAGGCTGCCGAAGCTCTCAGGGACATCAGGTCATCTATAATGGGGGACATCAGGTCATCTACAGTGGTAGACAGTGAGGCAAGCTCCTCAGGCCATTTTCTCTGGGCTGGAAAGGTCTGGAAGGTGACTGTGAAAAGTATAGTTGAACTAGGCCTTAAGGAGCAGAATTTAGCTGGATTGTGGGTGGGAAGACATCTGAAGCTTTGAGAGGGGGCAGATTCCCTCAGACCCTGAGGGTATTTAGTGCAGAATACTGAGAAATCAGCTTGGGCAGGTTAAAAAAAAAAAAAAAAAACAAAAAAACAAAACTGGATTGTGGACATTCTTAAGTTTTAAAGGGTTTCGACTGCCCATGTTGGAAAATAAAGAGTCTTCATTGATATGTCAGTGGGGAGAACATGATCGAACAAAAGGAAAGAATAAGAAAATCATAGGAAGCCCAAGCTTCCTATGTCAGGCCTAAGCCCAAGTCAGTCAGCCTGGTACAAGCTCCTCATTTACGAGCTATGAGGTCTTCGACGTGTGAGCAACTTCTGTGAGTCCCCATCTCCTGAGCTGTGAATTGGGAATAATAATAGAAGCTACTAATGGGGTTGTTGTGCGAATAAAATGAAGTTGTTTGGTGCTTAGCACAGTGTGTGATACTGCATAAATATTCAATTAATGGTGCATAAGTACTATGACATGCTCCTGCTGCCCCAATATTGTTCAAGAAAGAGAAGTCTCAGCAACCTGCTTGAACCTGATTTTTTTTTTTATTTTGGGGAAGTAAAAAAAAGAGGAAAATGATTGATTACTGGATTTGAATATAGCTTTAAAATCTCCCTTTTCCAAGTTGAAATTGCATTAACAAAAAACAGTAAAGGCAGAAACAAGTGAGCAAAATGCCGTGTGTACTTCTGAGATTTTTAAAATAAGTACATTCAACCCTTTATTATTTCTCCTAAGAGGAAATATGATGGATAGTTCAAATAATTTACTCTGATCCAAATAAACATTTTAAAATTATATATGTTACTCTTAATAGCAGTTTGCCATCTTTTTTGGCCAATATTTAAATTAATCAGCATGTGATTGTTGTTCCCCAAAGCCTTTTAAACAGTGAGAGAAAATGAGGTTATCAGAGATAATGTACAAAGCAGCTAGGTTCCCCTCGAGTAGGTAATAAGGCTGACCACTAATTTTGGAAATGATTTCTTGGGTGCTCTGGAGTCAGACTGCTTAGGTTCCAATCTCCGGTGGCTCCTCCCCCAGGTCAGTCATTTTGCTTCTCTAAACCTCAGTTTCTTCCTATAGGTAAAATAAAAGTAGTAACATTCCTTCCTCAAAGGGTATGTGCACTGAGTCCTCAGTAAGGTGCCTGGTACACAGTAAGCACTTGCCAGCATGTAAAAATTTCCCAGCATGAAATTTTATGATCAAAGCAACATAGTCATCTTACTGGTATATTATTTTCTTTAATATACTCATAAAGAATTTAGTTCAGGAAAGCGTCTAATAATGTGGGAGCTATTTATGATCTTTAGTCACAGCTTAATGTATTGATGTACCCAACCAGGGTTGTTTAGAGCATTTTCCAAGCCATAGAGTAACATTGTACTCCATGTACTCTAAGCCATAGAGTACAATATTACTCTATGGCTTGGAAAATTTGAAAGAATTTTTAGCTGCAATTTTCGTTACGTGTTTCTTTTTTTTACTTGTCTATCTTCAACTGTAACAGGGCAATTGGTGCCTTTCTAAAGAGCTTTGGGTTTCTTACGCATTAAAGTGTCTGGGCCCTAGAATTTACTTGGCTCATAAACTTATGAGACAGAACAATACAAGACTGGTTTAAGGTACATTATAGTTGCATGTATGACAGTGAGTTTTTATTTGGTTTTGCTAGAGAACACCTCCCACAGTGCCTTAAAGATAGTAGACTCAAATATTTATTGAATGAATTTAATGTATAATAAGATGCATTGCATTTTTTTTCCTGAGGATATCTTTATCTCACATTAGAAAATCTAACTTTAAAAAAAAAGAGAGAAGGAAAGATCATACAGATATTTCTAGACCGAAGTATTATTGAAAATGTGAACTTGGAGATCTACCATTTGTATTTTCTGGAAGTGCTATCATTTTCACAAGCCTGTTTCTCCCATAGGGTCTTTGCATTAGCTCTTCCGTTTCTCTGGAATATTCTTCCCTCAGATGGTGCTTGGCCCAGATAAGATATCACCTCTTCAGAGAAGTCCTCCCTGACCACCTAATCTCACTCACTTTCTATTACGTCTCTTTGTTTTATTTATTGTAGTATATTACTATGTGATTGTTTCATTTTTTTAATTGTTTATCCTCATCCTTACTGGACTAGAAGTACCCTGAGGTCAGAGGTCAAGCCTACATGTTTACTGTTATCTTCCCAGGATCTAGTATAGTGCCGGGCATTTCACAGATACTCAACAAATATTTTGTCAATTTGTTGAATTAATAAAGATCAAGATACGATTTTTTAGTGTTATCCTAACGCATAGCAGTAATTTCTAATCTTTTGAGTCACATTTACCTTAAAGAATTGGATTAAAATTTTGACACTCCTCCTTAATGAAAATTTACGTACACGACTTTTTGCCTACAATTTAAGTTCATGGATCTCAGGCTAAGAACCTCAGCTCTAAAGGTGTATATACAAATATTAAGAAAATCAAATTGCACTATTGAGCTAAATGTCACCAAAAAATTAATTACTACAAATGAATTATAAATTTTAATGCTCATATTTTTACAGTAACCAATTACATGTTGCCTTTGGAGAATTTTGCAACCCTCCAGAGGAAAAAAAAGACTACCTATAAATGTTATATATTTTATTTATATGCTGGAAAGGATTTAGGGCCTATAGAAAAAGGCTAATAAAAATATATACTGTACAGCAATATAAAATGTATTTCAAGTAGGTAAGAAAAAATGAGTCAAAGGAAAAAAATAAGGGTAAGAACATAAGATAGGGTCATGAGAGAGATTCATACTCAAAATTTATGTCATGAAATTCAACACTCTTTCTAGAAGATAGTAACAAATTTTGTTCTCAGTATTTGAGCAGCCAATGCAAAGGAGAAAAAAATCAGTTATGCCTTGCAGAGGGTCATATTTTATGTATACTTATACATGAATATATGTATATGTATATAATAGAAACTGCCTCTTAAAAGAAGAAAGCTTGAGTATTGTAATAAGGAATAAAGAGATATATTTCGGGTGTTTTGTTTTTGGCATGTGCCCTTGTAGCTGAGCCTGAAATAACCCATTAAAAAATGCTTTAAAATGACTAGCACTTTGAATGTTTATAATTAAGGTTTTATGGCTTATTGTAATTTTTGTCAGCAGTAGACCTTTGGAAGGAGGCCTCATTACACCAGTAAGGAGAGATGGAGCTTGTGTAATGAAGACAATGGGTTTTCTCCGTTTTCTTACAGTCCCTCTTTTTACCTAACCAAGCAGAGAGACACTTCCCCTCCATCACTCCACCATTTCCATTGTTGCACACTATTTAGTAAAAAGCCAGAAGCTCTCATTCTCTCCTTAAGAGGCATGCACCTAGGACATTGACTAAAGCAAGTTATTCCTGCTAACCTTAGTTTCCTTGGATAGGAGTCTATCTGGGACTTCTATGCCTTCTTTATTTGAGAGAGCAAATACAATAACTAGCTTCTTAGAACATTATGTGGATTTGTGGCATTCTCTGAGGGGCTATAAATGGATCACATTGACAGCTTTATTTGTCATTCTTAAATGGAATGTGTTTTTTTTCCCCTTTGTGTTAGATCAAAATCAGATGACATTTCTTATTTCAATGTGGAATGTTTTTACTCTCATAATTGCAAAAATGCATTCATAACTGATACTATTCTAATTTACAAAATTTGTGTTTCATGATTTGGGGGCATGAGAAAAATGTGTCTGAGGGAAAACATCTTATGCAACATTTATGTTTCGCCTATTTATTGAGATCCTGATACAGTTGCTAGAATTCTGTCACCATATGGAAGCAGAGACAATTATATTGCATTTGATGACATGAATTTTAGAAGCTAAGATATAAAAAGGCATATCCAGCAGAATATCTACAATCCAGAGACTTAGGCATTTTTGAAATCTCTTCTCTCCTTTGTGTCCCCAGCATGTCTGTGGACCTTGTCCTCCTTTCCTCCCCTTGCAATGACTTCTATTCAATATATACAGTAGCAAAAATGAAGATAATAGGACTGGAAAATACTACCTTCATATCTTAGCACACATCTTATATCATAAAACCAGTTGCATCTGCTCAGGTGAAATGTTTCATTCAGAAACCCCTATCATTCCCATTCACCCACTACTAAACCTGAATGAGAACGGAAATCTTCCTCCTTTCATTTCTTATATCCATTCAAAGCTCTCAGTGCTCTTGTGACTGACCCCAATTC